TTTATTTGGGGATGTGTTTTAGTGATTTTTCTGAAAAAACAAAAGAAATTTGTATTTAATAAAATTATTTTTTTAACTTATTTTAATTTATGTGCACTGTATAAACTTTTTTTAATCATATTCTACTAAAAAATATATATATCATATTTCGCAATATATAGCTTTTCAATATCAGCATACAATAATTTTCAGAAAGTCATAATATTCTTCTTCTTTTTGTAATAGAAGTCACAATATTCATAAACTAGGCTGAAAATTGGCGACAATCAAATGAACATGAAAGTCACATTATATTCGCATCATGCTTTAGGAATTCCCTTTTAGTAACCTTTAAATTTTGGGCTTAATAAGGTGATTTCCACTGATATTTGAAAGGGAACCATCGATCTAACTTTTTATCAAAACCAATTTCGGCAATGATAACTACTGGTCTAATCACGTACATCCTTCTAAAGAAATAAAGGTAAAAAGATTAAAGTTAGAAGTGGTTAAGCCTTCTTTTTTTTTCTTATTCTTGATATAAACCTGATCGCCCTCCTATCTTTTCTTCGGTTTAGCCAAAAATACATAAACCAACCTTCAACTTTAACGTAGTTCTACCACACGCTATGCACTTTAGCAATCTCATGACTTAGACTACTTTTTTTGAGTCTAACTGGTTGAGCAAAATTAAATTTGCATGCGAGTAGTTTGTAATAGATTCAACAATTATATCTTATTTATATTATAGAAAATACTAAAAATGAACATACTCCTACAATTCCAAGCTGGAATTAATAAGTGTTTTTGGCAACTTTGTTGATTGTTCATCATAATTTAATTGATTAACGGTAGAGGTAGCTTTGTCGCCTTGATAATCATATCTGACTTGACTGAATTAATGGGGAAATCAATGAACCAATAGAGAAATAATAAAAAATTAATAATTAAGAATTATTTAACCGAGAAACTTATTAAGCATTTCATGTATTTATCACATAATATTCTTTGACTAATTTGAATAAAAATAATATTTTGGTTAAGGTCGAGCTATGTGTCTAATCACCAAAACACAAGGGGTGTTTCTATCAAAAAAAAAAACACACACACACAACGGTTGTGATTGCAACAATTAATAGTGGTGTGTGTCTTTGCAAATGGGTGTCAAACTGTGGTCTATTTATTTAATAATTATTTTCTTCGTTTAAAAATACAAATGTGAGTAGTTTTTTAAACAACTATAGATTAAGTTTTAAGACATTATTATAGTGATGAAAGTATGTGAATCTTAGTTTTTGGAAGACAAAACGAGAGATGGCTTTAATAAAATGTTAATTAATTACTACACGACATTATTGCCCGTAAGAGGAAAGTTTCTGTTTGGACAGTCACGTACCTAATTGGCTTGCTAAGTGGCGAGCATGTAGCACAAAGACATTCATAATCATAGCCATAGACATTCATAATCATAGCCATTGGAGTAAAAAAGGAATAATTCACGCTTCCCTTGCAGGTGCATGATTGTAATGATTGGCGATCATGTATTTTGACTAAAACACGTGTGCGGTGTATGTGCCTCTCGTGCGCTCATTTCGAATGCACGTGTATAACTTAGATTTAGACATCAGATTAATAATATGATGAAAGAAAATACAATAGACTATTATTGTAGTTGCCATTATTTAGATTTTGTAAAATCTATTACATTCCCTACCTGAACTTTTCTTTTCTCAAATTGAAGAATCTATAGAGAATGGAACTAACTTGTATTTGCATTATTTTAATATGAAATCAATGTTTTTGCCCTTACTGCCTTCTCCTTAATCGTTGGTGTTGTCATCAGCTTCCTCTTTCACTTGCAGTTGTCACATAATGACATGGCCAAAATTTATGAAAGTTGGGTTCCTGACTAAGATGTGAATATCGGAGAGTTCATCTTATGTGCTACTTCTTGTTATTATCAACCAAATTTATTTTTTATTGCAAGGGACTTAGACAATTAAAAAAAAAAAGTAGTCTTTTGTTTATTTTTCTCGACATCAACATTTTGTCAATTTTAAACTTTTATGTATAGTTGATTTCTGATTTTGATAGAGATATAATATAAAATTATTGATAATTTTTTTACTTAATAGCTTAAACTTTGGGTAGAATTATATATATATATATATATATATATATATATATATATATATATATATGTATGTATGTATGTATGTATGTATGTATGTATGTAATTGTGGACCCATGAATTTTCATGATAGGCGGCAAAAATAAAAAGTATTACATCATAAATAAAAATACTTACAATACAATACAAACCTAATATAAAAAAATATAAAAAAAATTATTACAGAAATTAAGATCATTTCACTTTTTTTTGGTAGAAAAGATCACTTCATTTAACTCTTACTCTTCGTGTTTTTATATTGTTAAACTCATGTATAGTTGAACCTGTGCTAAAACTCAAAACAAATTCTTTTTCAATATATGTAATAAAAAATTATCAAAAAATTGGCCTCTGATTCCCAACAAAAATTAAATTTTTTTTTATAAACTACACAAAACAATTAAATAAATAAAGAGAAACAAATAAAAAAAATAAGTCACACACATAAACATGTGTCCAACAAACAAAAACAAAATATAGAGATTCATACAATACCCATAAGTCAAATAATATATTTTTTAATGAAAATTTTGAAAATAGACAATTTTGTCAATGAGACAAAAAAAAGAGCAAAAAAAATAAAGAATAAAGACTTACTATCAGTTGCAAAAGCCTTGAGAATCAATGGTGATCGAATAATGATTTGAAATGAATTAGAAGTTGAGAAGAAGACAAAAGAGTAACAAAATTTGTTGGAGTAGAGAAGAGCAGTGACAACGAAAAAATTAGAATTAAGAAAAAATGTGTTTGACAAGTGAGAAGAAGAAAGATTATAAAAAAAATAAAATTAAAAAAAGCATAGCATATTTTTTTATTAAAAATAAAATAAAATAAAATATTATTTATTAAAAAAATACGAACAGAGCTTGGAGACTTAGAGATCATGCCTGCTAAAACAAACTTGTGACCATTTATATCCCTACACATAGGTAAAGGGATAGGGTTTTTTTAGGGGGTTTTATTTTTTAATTTGAGGGGATTAATTTTTAAGACAAACAATCTATTAATATTATCAAAATGATATTTTGTATATATACTCTTTTTTTTCAAATTTTAGGGAGGGATGGGACCAACCCTAGCCCCCTAGGTCCACGCAAGTATATATAGCTTTGGGTAATATTTACTTTTCACTTCAGCATCATTCAATTCAAATATTTCTTCCTCTTAAGTATAAAAGAAAATTTAAATGTAAATAAAATATGAAAAGTTAATGACAACTTTATATTACTCTATAATTAAATATTCAAACAATACTATAAAAAACTTATATCATTATATTCTTTTTTCAAAAATCATTTCATTTTATTATATACCATTTTATTTCACTTATCATAAAATACCCGAACATAATAGGAATATTAATGTTTACCCACGTTATCAGTTGGCTTAAAGAATTATTTGTGATAGCCAATTGCCAGCTGCACTCAAGACTCAATCATATGCTACATTGCTACGCGGGAAGTGAGAATTATTGTCCACTCCTCACATGTTTCAATTATATACCTACGCAAATGTAAATGTACATATGCCAACACATATACTTGATTGGCTATTGGCAGCAATATTATGCATGGCTGCACTTGAGTCCCGATTCTCAATGTAAAATATAATAATACACCAGCAGAATCAAGTTGGATAAAAAGTTGAATGGAGCGACCAAAATAAGTCTTGGATGCATGTCCTATATATTATATGGTATATGACTATATGTGGAGTATAAAGTAGTCGTAGGGAAACTGCAGTACTTCCCAAAGGAAAGGGGCCAAAAATATAGGGTTTGTAGGAAAATGATAAATAATCCACATATGTGGAGTATAAATTTAGTAGTAGGGAAACTGCAGTTCCTAAAGGAATTAATTATAAGGGGCCAAAAATATAGGGTTTGATGTAGGAAAATGATAAATAATCGACATTATTATTCTCTCCCTTTTTTTTCACTTTTTGCTTATGCTCATTTATTGTGTAAGGAAAAAATACATGTTAAAAAATTATATTTGTCTTATTTCATTATTTGAAAATAAATAATACAAAAAATAAAATAAAGCAATGTATAAATAATGGATTTGATGTTTCTCGTATTGTTGGAGATAAAATTATTTTTTACATGCAAAAGAAAAATATAAGACCCATATGAGATCATATAAAAAGAAAAAAAAAATACGAATCACATATTTTTTTTTATGTGTGTAAAAAATAATTTACATGCATAAATTAAATCCATAGATAATGGTATTTTCCTCAACTGTTCAACATTCTCTTCCACTTCAAAAAGACAGAGACGGCATTCACCATATGTCCATATCCTAATGGACATCTCACCCATCCATTTTTATATAAAAATCCGTATCTTGAAAAGCAGATCAAAGGGCTTCCATTTTCAAGTTTCGGGATTGGAGGAATCTTTTCGCATTCCTCACTTCACTCACTTTAATTGATGATCAAAACGCTTTGAAAGAGAGAGAGAGAGCCGCAGAGGCCACCGAAAAGCAAGGACACCTCATCATGAAAGCAAGTAAAAAACAAAAAACGACCCGATTTGACGGGCCAACACACACCCACATACACATGCATCCATGACATCCAACTCACACACACTCAAATGCCATTCATAAATGAATTAACCAACTTACATACTCTCTACGCATGTCCTTCAATTTACTGTAAGTTTTCCTCTTTTTTTAACTTTTGTTTTTTTCTTTTGATTTAATGAAAATTATCACCTTTTAGTTTACTTTACGGTAAGAAATTCCTAAGTCAACCACACCTCATCATTTGGTCTTGGTTTATGAAGGTAATTCCTCATTTCCCACTTTGTCCACTTTACTTTTGTTATATCATCATCATCATCCTCTTCTATATAGTCACATAGCTTCCTATCATCCACTTCTCCACCATGGGAAGCATGAAGGTGCATCAATTCACACGTGGATTCTGGGAGCACGAACCCTCCCTCACACTTGGGTGCAAGCGCTTACGCCCTCTTGCGCCCAAGCTTTCTAACACCGACACCACTAGTTTTGATCTCAAGAGCTTCATCAGACCTGAAAGTGGCTCCAGAAAACTTGGATCCTCTGAAGATAATAAGAAGGATCCACCTTCACCACAAAGCCAGGTCCATAATCTCTTCCCTTTAGTTTAATTTTCCACATGGCATGTCCAATATCCATGCAGTGATATAATGAGATCACGTGCATATATATATGATACAAAATTATTGAATGAATTCATTATTTGAAATATGATTTAATTAATAGTTTTATTATTAATATATAAATTAAACAGGTGGAAACGCATATTGCTGGAGGGACACGGTGGAATCCGACGCAAGAACAGATAGGTATATTGGAGATGCTGTATAAAGGTGGGATGCGAACTCCAAATGCTCAACAAATAGAGCAGATCACGGTCCAACTTGGAAAGTACGGCAAGATCGAAGGGAAGAATGTGTTCTATTGGTTCCAAAACCACAAAGCACGCGAGAGACAAAAGCAGAAGCGCAACAGTCTTGGCCTTGTTCATAGTCCTCGAACTCCCACTACAGTATCATCCAACTTTTCTAGTGTAACTTTCGAGACAACGACGAGGGTATGTCTTTTAGCTACCTTACGCTCTTTTTTTAAACCTACCATAATTATTTTTACGAGGTAAGTAAGCTCCCCCGAATATTCTTATAAGAAATTTTAACTCTTTGAGCCAGCTATAAATTAATCTCAACTGTAGAATGGGTCAAGTATTAAAGTTTTGTATCCCTTTCCAAGATAACATTGGTGGGGTTCGAATCGAGATTCTTTCCCATCTACTCAGTTCTATTATATCAATTGAGCTGTCATCATTCGCTAACTACTTTACACTCTTTAAAGTAGTATATTGTATCTAACATCTAAAGGCTCACACTAATTAATGGTGTCATAATAAGTCTCAATTTTAGGGGTTGATTTCACTAGTATACGATGATTTATAAGGATAACATATTATGTCTATCTTTCTTTATCTCTACTTTACATACTTCTTCTGAACATCATTAGATTACAATCTCAACTAACAAGTGGAAAAGAGTGAAATAATGAAGACAAGTTGAAATTACAATCTAACCATATTAGAAAAAAGTAAGTATTAAAACAGTAGGTGTATGATATACTATCCCTAATTTATATCATTAATAAATTAAATTCATTAAATACACGTGAAATTAACGAGTAATAATGAATACAACACTTATATGGATGTAAGTTAATTCTGAATATTTAATTATATATTAGATGGAGGATTATTAATATTATTATTAAAAAAAATTAGTTCATGGGATATATATGTTACATTTTATTTGGGTCGGTGGCAGGGGGAAGTAGCAGAAAGAGATCAGGAAGATAGCCCATTCAAGAAGTGTAGGAGGAGTTGGGGATTTGAGTACATGGAAGACCAAAGTTGGTCATCTTGCAAAGAGGAGGAACATAAAACTCTTGAGCTTTTCCCATTGCACCCGGAAGGCAGATGAAGGGGTTTGACCGTTTGGCCATTTTAACGAGAAATTATTAGCTATGTTCCGAATCTCATGAGCTGATTGAATGAATGCATGTGCTTTGATTTGCTTTCGTTTTAATTTCTTCGATCTTTCGTTGTGTTGGGAAAGAAGAAAGACAAAAGTTGTCTACGATCTGTACTCTTCCACTTAATGCTATTCCTGATTTCGGAACCAAATTAACCAAAACGTATTTGTCTCTCTTTACTTGTTGATTTCAGCGAAGTGGTTGTGACTTTGAAAACAAAACGATAAGATCTTTTGACGACCAGAACTTGTGAATTGAAGCTTTTAGGTTAAAAGGAGAAGCTACGGACACTGAAGTCCACGCACCTACTTCTACTTCTACTTCTACTTCTTAAATCTCAAATCTACCCTTTCAATTTGAAAAAGCATCATATTGTCATCGATCTAAACCGAAATCTTAAACAATAATCACACTAGATACTCCACTCACCGTTATATATCAGACTTTCATAAAGTAGGGCACATTCGTTTACTAATTATTTGGTAATATTTCAATCGATTCATCATTTTCGCGACTAATTCGATTCAGGATGAGTTCTGAGATTAAGATTTTAAATTTCTTCCAAATACAATTCTTAAAATGATAGAATACATACTCTTATCTCACCTACTCAATTCTCTAACGCCAACAGAACTATCATTATTTGATACCCGGCACGTTCATTTATTTTTCCATCGTTGACGTGCAAATTTCTTTCTCTCTCACACGCTGTTTGTAGGGCCACTGACTAACCCGCCACGAAAATTTGGACTTGGCGGGAAAGGAAGATCAACAATTTGAAATATTCATAAAGTATAATCACCTCTCTTTTTTTGGTAGGGAAGTATAATCACCTCTAACAACGGTATTCGTTTCTTTTTAAAAAAATTTATCTTTGTTAATAATTATTTTCATTAAATAAAATCATAAAATATTAATAGAGTTTTGATATTTTAAGCATTTTAATAAAATGTAATTTCAGTAAAATATAATTCTATTTTTATATAATTAAAGCTATTTAATATTTTTTAGTTTTTTATACTTTTTATTTTTCATAATGTTAATAATCTCAAGTCAAGTGTTCCCATAGGTACTTTGTAGAACTCGAATCCTAACTGTTTGTCCGGACTCATATTGCCACTTCAAAGTCAGCCCAAAAGCTATAATTATCTTAAATGCACATGTATATATATTTTTTTGATACAATGTTGTGTGTAATATATTGTCAAACAGAGAATATATACACTAAAGCATTAGAATTGGTTTAGTAATAAGGAATTTGAGTAATTTATACTAGATTATATATTCAAAAAAACATATATACACCGGTTGTTAAAGTGGCTGCATTAATTTCAAATGATTGAGCGTCAAATTTGTGAGATTATATGTATATGTAGTCTTTCCCTGTTTGATGTATAAATAACGGGATTTGAAAAAAAAATCTTAAATAATTTTTTGTTCAGTTACATATGCAGCCTAGTTATATTTTCATCTGGGGAATCTTTTTCCATTATTTCATTCAATCAGAATCTTGTACCCTTTGTTGTATAGCAAAACATAAGTTACAATTTATTTCTTTTTTTTTTTTGGTAAATAAAAAAAGGCCTAAGCCCAAACGAAAACAAAAAACAAAACCAGAAGAGAAACTAAAACCTACACACTATTATCCTAGATCTACTGACAGCGGTTAAATCACCAAGAAGCAGAGGCTGAATACCAGAAGGAGGATCCTGCCAACTTTGAAACATAATATGATCATCAGTCTCCTAAATAGAGTTTGTCATCCAGTCTGCACAGAAATTCCCTTCTCTGTAAGTATGCATAAGAATAACAGACCAGTCTCTTTTAATCCATGTCTGTATACGAGCAATCAGATGACACTCACGGACTGCATCACCCTCTTTGGTGAGCACAGTGATCACACTAGATGAATCACTTTCAATTATGATGTTATGATATCCTTCATTCCAGGCTAATTCCAACCCCCGGAGAACACCCCACAGCTCCGCCTTAAAAGAAGAACAGTAACCCAATTTGTATGCAAAACCTCCCAACCACCTTCCTTGAGAATTACGCATCAAACCTCCACACGCAGCTTGACCAGGATTACCTCTAGAAACTCCATCAATATTAATCTTCACAACTCCATCGCTAGGAAATTTCCAAATAATATCTGTTACCATTGTTCTATTTGCTGGCAGTTTATTGGAAATATGATTCCAAGCATCATTCACATTTCTCACTAAATTACTAATTACATCCTTCCTCACAGTCATAACTGATAAACTCCCCCCATGCAAAGTTTCATTCATCCAACCCTTTATCTTCCAACACGTAATGAAAAAAGTTGTAATCCAACCTTTTCCAACAGCATTGGCTTCTATTTCTAAATTAAAAGAAATCCATTGAGAATCATCACCAATAAAAAATTCCTCCTCCTATCAGTTGGCACCAACTTGAACCAGATTGGAATCACTTCTTGGCAATCACGAAGGACATGTAACAAAGACTCCCTCTCCTTCAAACAAATGGGAAAAAGATCAATGCCATTGCTCCAAAGTGCAGTGCGGCTTCTAGTAAGCAGTTTTCCATGAAACACTTTCCACATAAAAATCTTAATCTTTTGCGGTCCCAACCATTTCCACAATTTGTTCCATCTATCAGCATTACTTCCTACATAAACATCCGAAACAGAAAGCACTTTGTATAGTGCCTTAATCGAAATAGTGTTGACACCATCCAACTCCCAAATTTTAGTATCTGGTCCATCATCCTTACCAGGTGGAAGAGTTCCACGAAATATATCTATGATGTTTGTAGGAAACCATTGCACCAGAACCTCAAAGTTCCACTCACCATCTGGCTTTACAAGATCATTCACATATAAATCAACATTAATAGTACTCGGATTAGCTGCTAACTCAAGTAAAGATTGATTCTCCATGAGCCATTTGTCATTCCAGAAAAGAATATTTTTCCCATCTCCAACTTCCCATCTAAGTCTCCCCTCCATCTCCCTCCAAATCTTACACATATTTTTCCACAAAACAGAATCACCATTACAGCTCACAAAGCAGCCTCTTCTTCTATTTCTCTTTTCATATTTAGCATGCAGAACATGGGCCCATAATTGATCTGGCTTATTTGAAAAATTCCACACTCTTTTTGCAATAAAGGCATTATTCATTGCTGACATACACTTGAAACCGAGCCCCCCATTCTCCTTAGGTAATCTAATAGTCTGCCAATTAATCAGATGATGTGTCCTTCTTCCTTCCTTATCACCCCAAATAAAATTTCTCTGGATCCTTTCTATATCATTACAAACAGCCATAAGAAACTTACAGCTTTGCATTTGAAAATAAGGAATGGAAGCCAAAACTGACTGAGACAAAGTGATCCCACCAGCCTGAGAGAGAGTTTGTTGATGCCAAATATTCAATTTCTCTTTTAATTTATCAACTATCCCTGCATAGAGTTCCTTAGTTGCTCTACCATGTTGCATCATGGATCCTAAATATCTTCCCACCTTCTTTACATGCTTAAACCCACTTTTCTGAATAATTCTAGAAATAACATCTTCACTTGTATTTTTAGAGAAGTAGACACTTGTTTTATCTACACTTGTTTTATCTACACTCAGTTTCTGCCCAAAAGCTTCTTCAAACAAAAAAAGGAAATTCAAAAGAAGATCAATTTGATCCTCCTTAGCTTCCATGAAGATCATCAAGTCATCAGCAAAAGCAATATGAGAGATAGAAGGACCATCCTTTCCCACCCGAATTAGCCTCCAAAGGCCACCACTCACGGCAGTATTAATTATATGAGTCAGTTGTTCCAAAGAAATAACAAAAAGATAAGGAGAAAAATGATCACCTTTTCTAATACCTCTTGAAGGGTTAAACTCCTCAGTTTTTCCACCATTCCACATAACATTAATCTTAGAAGTTTGCACACACTGCATAATCAAATTAGTGAAATGCATAGGCAGCTGAATTTCCTCCAAAATCTTTTGCAGAAAACTCCAAGAAATCCTATCATAAGCTTTAACTAAATCAATCTTCACAGCCATAAAAGCCCTTCTACTTCTCATTTTATGCATTGAATGAATCAACTCTTGTACAATCACTATATTATCCTCGATCTGTCTATGAGGAACAAAACTAACCTGAGACGGAGATATGAGTTTATCCATAACCGATTTCAGCCTTTGAACAATCACCTTTGACAACAACTTATACAAAACTGAGCACAGGGAAATTGGCCTAAATTGAGAAATGCATTTAGGGCTTTTTGTTTTAGGAATCAGAACCAGAAGAGTGGATTAATCTCTTTCACCAGATTCAGATTGATCCAAAGGCTACTAATAGCCTTAAACACTTGGCTCTTCACATTACTCCACTATTTCTGGAAGAAGATGGCAGGGAATCCATCCACACCCGGTGCCTTAAAAGCTCCCATACTTTGCATTAATCTTGTGATCTCATCCATAGTAGGAGCTTTAATCATATCATTCTTAGCCTCCTGCGACAAAGTCATCCAGTTATTAGGAGAAGATAGCCATCTACGATCATAGACCTCCTTTGTGAATAAACTTTTATAAAAATTACACACAAGCTCCTTAAGATCAGCTGGATTATCTATCCATTGATTGCTTTCATTTCTAAACCTAGAAATTTTATTATTGCTTCTTCTGATAACTGTCTTCAGTTGGTAGAATTTGGTATTTTTATCCCATCAAACAATCCAATTCTGTCTCGATTTCTGATATAATACAAGTGAAAATTGACCACATAATATAATATAACTTATTTTTTATGTACAATTTTTATTTATATTTTGCTACACTAAAATATAAATATTTAATAACAATTTTAACAATGAATTTGAATTTAAAATATCATTCAATTGTTTTAATTAGTAGTGTAACGCATTGTCAATAAAGAATCAAGACATTGATTTCCAATTTCAATGGTAGAAAGAAAATACAATAATGCAAAAAAAAAAAATCCATTCTAGATAAACACGATCCAAAGCAAAA